AGGAGGGGCTGTGGAAGGGAGCTCTGGGACTCCCATGCTTTAGAAAAACCTTTGAGGCCCTTCTGTTTCTCATAAACCACCTGTCACAGGGGCTTAGAGTTTAAACTTACAACTCTGTGGAAAGCAATTTGGATCAGGGGTGAGAAACAGGGAAAGCATTACCAGGAAATACTTCTTTGCTGGGTACAGTCACAGGTTCGTTCTGCCACAGCCCTGCCAGTTGCAAACACCACATTCCTATCCTGGGGTTTGGGTTCCAACCATCCTAGGGTTTTTCATTTCACACTCTCCATAAGATAATGAGGTACTTGAATTAAATCAGCAAGCTGAAGGAGGCTTTTGCACTTGGCTGTCTGGGTGATGCGATATTGTTATGTATTATAACGTTGGCTTTTATTATTTTGGGCATCTTTCTTGTTGGGTCAGAGCTGGTGATGTGCCCCTGCTCTGCTTGTTTGTCTCTTTTTTCCAGCCTGCAAATGGGCAGCTACAGCCCCAGCTCTGGTCAAACTAGGAGAGATGCTGTGGAGTTCAATGGATTTCTGTGAATTAAAATGGGTTGCTGACAGCCTTGAGGGTGATTTGAGATTGTTCCCTGAGTTTTCACACTCTTTGTCCCTGTGGGGCCGTGTCAAGGTCACAAAATCTGTGAAACTGCATCCGGGGACTGCGGGATGTTCCCAGACCTCGCGAATGTGCTGCATGCCGTGGAAAGCAAGGGTGTTCGGTATGATGGATTGGCACAAAGACGGGATTCTGCACAGGCAGAGGTTTTGTGAAGGTTGGCATGCCACGCAGGGGTACGCAAGGATTTGGATGTGCATGTAAGACACATGCAGGACTGCATCCGTGCACCCCTTTTTGGGTGCCCTTTGCTGCGTTTGTGCCCTTATGTTCGTAGCCAGCCGCGTCTCCGTGCAAATACGTGGATGCCCAGTTTGTGCATGGACCAACCTACTGTGCACAGCGCGGTGTGAATTCAGCGATGCGATTCCAGCCCTGTTTCTGCGAGCTGAATCGCGCAGCTGGCACGGTTCGGCGGAGGTGGCGTGGTCTCTGCACGCTGGTGAGCGTGTCTTGCGTTACTGGGGGAAACTGGGTGGCACGTCACAGCCCGGGTTCCTTCATGTATTTCCTGCACGTGCTTTGCAGGAGGATGGGCAGGGCTGGAGGAGTGGGCTCCTGTTTTTGCACAGTGATGCTGCCTGCAAGGAGGCTGGTGCCTGGGCAGCGGTTAGCTGCCGGCTTGTGGCGTGACTGCAGTTAGGAGCATGGATGGACGTAGGGCTCAGCCGTTCCCTGCGTGAAATTTGGCAACGGGGCTACTTTGCTCCTGTGGATGGATTTACCAAAAGATGAGAAAAAGCTTAAAATTAAAAAAAAAATTAACCCCCCCCCACCCAAACCCCCCCATTTCCAAAAAAAACAAAAAAGAACCCAGTGTTGGTGCATTTAATGTCTCAATGCCTTCAGCTCCTGAACATACCAGGAGCTGAGCATATGAACAGGGTCTAAGTGCGTGGGACTGTGCGGGGAGAGCACTTTGCTCGCGACGTCTCTGCTAAGTGCTGGGGAAAAAAAAAAGTCACCAAACACTCCCTGCAAGTGGATAAATCGCTCCCGGGGCTGCTTCTTCCTGGGAGAGGACAGTATATACTGGGAGACTTCTGCTGGGAAGAAAACACTACCTGGGAATACTTGCTGGGAAGCAGCAGTGAAGAGCAGCTGCTGAGAAAAGCTGTTCCCTGCCTTGGGAGGCATTTTTAAGCAGTAGCTATGGGTTTCTGGCTGGGCTGGGTGACCCCTTCCTTGCCTTCCCGAGGTGGGTGGTGCCGGGTGATGTTGGCCAGAGTTGCATGACGTTGCACGTCTGGTGACCGTGATGCGCAGACGCGACGCGGCTCTTGGCCGAAAGCCAGGGGCTTGGGATAGAAACGTTCAAATGTTTCCTAGGGTAAAGGCACTTGCGGTTCTGCTGCTCGGAGGAAGAGGAAGAGGAGGAGGAAGGTGCGTAGCCCCTGCCTTCCCCCTCCCCAGGCTCTTATCTTCCTGATGGGAGTAAGGAATTTGAGCCCCCGGGATGCTGTGCTGCTTTTCTAACCAGGAAAGTAACATTTTATTTTCTTTGCATGTGGCAAAATGTATGGAAGTTACTATGAGGAAATTAAATTAATCTAAATTAATGCTGGGCAGGGGGAAAAAACCATCCGTAAAATGGTCCTTGGCTTTCCTGAGGGTAAATTCATGTGAATTTATGCTTTGGCTTTATACCTTCAGACTTCTCTGTCCCTTTTCTGTTTGGCTTAGATAATTTATTTCCAGTTCAGCTGGTCAGACAATGACTCTTGAAGGTGCTGGTCACTTGAACCAGCCTTTGCAGTCAGGAAAACGCATATTGGAGTTCCAGCTTTTCTAGATAGTAGATAGGTATGGATCAGGTCCTCCCTGGTTAACCTCTTAATGTCATGAAAACTTAGGGAAGGCTTCTGGTCAGTATGGTCTCCTGATTGCCTATGGAAGCAGGAGGGGTTGAGACTGGCTTTCTGTCTCATTCCAGGTATCAAATCAGGGTCTTTCCAGGATGGCGTGTGTGGCTGCCATGCAAAACTGAAGGGGAATACCTGCCTGCTGCCTTCTCCATCTGAAAACGTTGCTGGGCGTCAGATTATTAGGTAATCAGTAATGAGTCTGAGATAACACTGATAGCGAGAACACCCTCACCCTCACTCAGATGCCTCAGGGGATGCCTGTTTGGGCTGCAATTAGTGCTGAGGCCAGCAAAAAACCATGACGGGTACCACTGCCTGCGTAAAGTCTATCCCAGTCTCTCCCTGCTCTCCCCAGGCCTTAGGTCCCTTGGCTGGTGCTGGCGTTGCTGTCCTTAGCTGCCCCACACATAGACCTCCAGGACATCAAATATAAACAGCAAGGTTTCGCAGTCTAATTGAACAAGATTTTCTGTTTATTAATTAGGTGAGGACCACGAAGCCCTTAAAATAGCAGCCTATCCTATGTGGTGTGTTTTGTCAGCCAACCAGAGCATCTCCCACAACAAAGGCACCGGACATCATTGCATCTTACCCATCCTTCAGTGGGTTCCCTGGGCTTTGGTGAGGAACGTCAGAGGTACAGAGCCCTTCCTCTGACCATCATGGAGCCCACAGCTCACAGCCAGCTGGAGGCATCTCCCCCTTCCAGCACGGAGACAGCCGAAGAGCTTGCCTTCAAGTTAAATACTGCTGTAAGGCACAGTGATACCAAACGTGTGCTGGAGCTGCTGGAGAAAGGGGCAGATGTGAACTCCAAAGCAGAAGGTGGCTGGACACCACTGCAGAGCGCCGTGCAAGCTAATGAGGAGGACTTGGTCCGGCTTCTGCTGGACAAAGGGGCTCATCCACATGCCAGGAAGGACAACGGTGGCACTGCATTTACTGAGGCAGCAATAGCAGGAAATGTGAAGATACTGGAGCTCCTCCTTGAACGTGGGTTAAATATTAATGACCATGATGACAACGGCTTCACAGCTTTCATGGAGGCTGCGTGGTATGGGAATGAGGAAGCCTTGAAATTCCTGTATAGCAAAGGAGCAAATGTGAATTTGAGGAGGGCAGTTAGTGAGGAGAAAGCGAAACTGCATAAAGGAGGTGTGACAGCACTGATGGATGCTTGTAGGGAGGGCCACTTCTCGGCTGTAAAAACTCTTGTCCAAGAGATGGGGGCTGATGTGAACATCTGTGACAACAAAGATAGGAACGCCTTGATCCACGCCCTCAAGAAGGGTTGTGACAAGGGAAGGTACGAGTCAGCTGTCTCCATAGGCCGTTTCCTGTTGGATCACGGTGTCGATGTGAACAGCAAAGACGAATGTGGGAAAACTGCCCTCATCCTCACTGTTGAAATGCAGAGCCCAGATTTGGTGGAAGCTTTATTGGAGAAGGGTGAAATAGATATTGATGATGCAGATGAGGAGGGCAACACAGCACTGATGGTGGCTGTAGAGAAGAATGATCACAATATAGTGAAGTTGTTGTGTGAAAAAGGAGCAAGGACTGATGTTGGGAACCTTATTGCTGTTGCAAATAGGAACCGTGCTCCTAACGTGGCGCGTCTCCTTCGCCAGTACAATGCCAAGATCATTCCAGGAACCCTCAAAGACTGGGAGCCAAACAGCAAACGCTGGAGGGACCAGCTAAAAAAACTTTATCAAATATATCGCCCTATGATTGGCAAACTGAAGACATTTCAATACATCCAGCAGAGAATTCAGAACACTTCCCAGGGTGGCATCTACCTGGGGCTCCATGGTGGGACGGAGGTAGCAGTGAGAATGAGCCGCAGCACAGAGGGTGAGAAAGAGAAAAGGTTCTTCGAGCAGTGTGGTAACTGTGAACACCTACTGAAGCTCTTCCAGTTTGAAAAGGCAAGAGGGTACATGTACCTGTGCTTCCCCCTCTGGGAGAGAAACCTGGAAGAACACCTGCAGAAAACAGAAAACCAAACGGATTGCAAAGATGCTGTGAGGATGATCTTCCAGGCGGTGAGAGAGCTGCACTCCCTCGGATTTGCTCACCAGGATCTCCACCCCAGGAACTTTTTCATAGGTTATATTTTGCTTTCTCACTGTTTTCATTTTGCTTTCCTGTTGCTTGTAGTTTAGAGAAGATGCTTCATAGCCATCTGTAAAGCAAACGAAACAAAACCTAAACCAGATATAAACAGCAGTGCAGATGTCTCTGAAGAATAAAGACATGCCTGTGGCATTAACTCTCCTGTCTAAATAAGTATATTATGTTCACAGACAGCCACAGAGGAGAGAACAGAACACCTTTACATGTCTCGTTAGGTCTGCCCTCCTTCCCACGGCTTTGCAGACCCACAGCAGATCTCTTTTCAGAGAACTGCTTTCTAAAGAAGGGGTCATCCAGAAGTCAGTGACAGACCTTATCGAGGTCACTGACTTCTGGATTTCCGTAAGGTTTTCCACCATCATTTATTAACAATTTTCTCTTATTTCCTCAGATTTAGGTGGCAAAATCTACTTGGCGGACTTTGATAATAAAAGAAAGTTGATTGAAGGCAAAAAAGAGCTTGTAAACTCAGATTTAGAGGTAACTTCCCCGTAAATCAATGTATGGTTTAAAATCTCAGGCACTTTTTGTTGCGGTGAAATCCTAGGGGAACCCTTTCTGCATCTTCAACTAGAAAACACCTTGAGTTTTTTGGGGAAGCCCATATAACAATAGATGCTGTGTAAGAATGATGGTGATTAGGATGCAAGGCTGTGGCTGGTGCTGGGATATCCACATGTACCCTGTGAGCGTGATTATGGTGCCCGTTTCCTCCGTCTTTCTGCACACAGCCTCGAAGTTTGTATCCTTCTGCATGCCTATAGGTGCACGTGTGTGTTCATCCGCTCATTTAGGAATACTAGTCCTCTTCCATTTGGGAAGAAACGTCATGCATCTGGCACGTGACCAGTGACGTGTTTCTTTGCAGGCCCTCAGCAGACTCGTGGTGTACGTTTTAACAGGGGGTAGGAAGCCCCTTCAGCTAGCCAGTGCCGAGGATTTGGCTGCCGATTCCCCAGATTACGAGGAGGCTCTGGACCTTGTAGGTAGCCTGGTCTCTCATGACAAACGAGGCTTGGAAGGTTTGAGCAAACATCCCTATTTCTGGAGCAAACAGATGTAAGTCTTGGGAGTGCAAAGGAAAAGCTTTCAGCACCGGGTTTCCCTGTGGTGCTGGGAACAGTGATGTCCTGTTGCAGCTAATGAAGCTCCTTGTTCCACAGCAGGTTCAAGTTCCTGAAGAGTATATGGAATAAAATCAAAGATCTCCGCAACCGAAAAGCTGTCTTTCAAGTTCCTAATGGTACTGAAAGTTTTCCTTATCCAGAGTGGACCAAGCTGGTAATCCTCTTCTCTTTGGATTGATACGAGGTTTGAGCTCAGGAGAAGCTTTTCTTGAGTGTTTCATGGGCCCTGTTTAAATAAGTAGCTGGAAAAAGTCATGCCACGCAAATACGGATAACCGGGGGAAAAAATTAAATCTAAGCCACGTAGTCAAAATACACCAGACTAACGACACTGGTGCTTACAGGAGCTCTGTTGACTGGGGTGGTAGTAGGGAATGTCATGCCTTGGCAAGGCAGGAGAGGAGTCGGCAGAATTGGGGGGGGTCCATATGGCCCGTGCCCTGCAGGGTCAGGGCTTTTTGCTCGTGCAAGATGATTTTTCCCTGCAGAAAGGCAGTGGCTGTGGTGAGGGGAGGTGGATGTGCTGCTTTTGTGGGGTGTGAAAGGCAGAGAATAATCCACGTGCTTTTCTTTTTCAGATTGACAGAGATGTTCTGAATATCATGGAAAACCCTAGGAGAGGAAAACCATTCAAATATAGCAACGATGTCACTGACCTGCTGAGGCTCATCAGAAACCTGGATGAACACCCAGATGTCAGGTACATGTTCACACTCCTGCCACAGTTGCCTTGCAGGGAGCAGCTGGGTATCTGCATCAGTGAGTGCGAGAGCAAAATCTTCTCCAGATGGTTTTCCAGAAGGGTGAGCACAACTGGGATGTGGGAGAAAGCCCGTTAAAGCTCATCTCGTTAGAGGGGCTACCTCCTCTGGCAGTGCAATAGAGTGTGAGAGGCTGTGTGTCACGGCAGCAAGCAGTCTGGAGCGAGCCCCCTCGAAATTGCCTTCCTGAGGGTAAGAGAAGGAAGTTAGCTCAGAGGATTGCACCTCAGATTTTGAAGCAAAATCTGACTCCCAGATCATGTCCCAGAGATGAACGTCCTCAGCCAGAGCCTTCCGCTCCACAGGGATAGCAGCAGCTCCAGGAATTGGTGGCAGCTCGTCCTGCAGCCTTGCCTTTGCAGGGCAGCCTGTGGCAGGTCGTGGATCCACAGCTGAGGACACCACCACCGTGTCCTCTGGGTTGTTATTTTTTGCTGGAGGCTGGCGTTCTCGCCATCGCTCCGGAAGGTTTTCAGATCGCTCTTAAATATCAGTATCATTTTTATACCGTTGAAAAGCCTCCTTATCTACCTTGCTAGTATTGCCAAAGTGCTGTGTTTGCTGTGCTGAAGTGCTTTGAGGGATGGATCAAGATGCACCGGTCCTGTTAGAAGATCCTGTTAAGAGGTCTTGACTCCTGAAGAGCTGCTGGAGTCTCCAACCCTCTACAGTCATGGGCGCTTACCTGTGAGGTTAGAGGTGGTGATGGTTTCACTGATGCTGATGGCCAGCACTGCTCTTCTGTGAAAGTGCAGGTGGGATTAGAGAGATGGAGGTGCTGGAGGAATACCAAAAAAATGGATTGAGGAGTTTAGGGGGAGGTAGAGAAAAGTTGCAGCTCTAGGATTTCTAGGAAACATTTCTGTGTTGCCAGAAAGCCCCTGGAATGGCTTTTTCTCTGCAAGGGAGGAACCAGGGCATCCTGGACCCCTGAATCCTTGGGCAAGATTTAAAAATCTGTTTTATTTTTGTTCTTTTTCAGGATCAGCAACAAAATTGGAGACCATGCAGAGTATTTCTTGGAGCGTTTCCCAGCACTTACCATTTATGCCTACAACAGTTTACGCCAGAATCCCGAATACAGTCACTTTGCAGACATTGAGGACCCTTCTCTGTAGGATGTCAGTGCCTCATATCCCATGTCTGGACCCACCATGGCTGCCTCTTTTTATTCCCTATTGCTTCATCTGCAACGGAGTTGAAGTTAAGGCTGAGAGAGTTGGGGTGTTCAGCCTGGAGAAGAGAAGGCTCCGGGGAGCCCTTATAGCACCTTCCAGTGCCTGAAGGGGCTACAAGGAAGCTGGGGGGGACTTTTTACAAGGGCCTGTAGTGACAGGACACGGGGTAACGGGTTTAAATTGAAAGTGGGGAGGTTTAGATTAGATATCAGGAAGAAGTTCTTCTCTGAGAGGGTGGGGAGGCACTGGAACAGGTTGCCCAGAGAAGCTGTGGATGCCCCATCCCTGGAAGTGTCCAAGGCCAGACTGGATGAGGCTTGGAGTAACCTGGTCTAGTGGAAGGTGTCCCTGCCCATGGCAGGGGGGTTGGAACTTGATAGTCTTTAAAAGTCCCTTCCAACCCAAACCATTCTATGAAAGTGGGTAAGGAGATGGGAGACAGCACATGTAGGGACATGGAGGACTTTGACAAAGAAACAAAAGCTGCTTCAGAAGTGTTTGGTGTATCAACCACAGGTTTTGGAGAGGAACCAAGCTGAGTGCCAGCCCACGTGTCCCTTGACTACCTCTGTCCCTCTGGGCTTATCCACCTCTGTGAGGTGGAGATCAAGGCCCTGATCCTTATGAGAGCAGGGAGATGTGGGACAGCCTCCGTATAGCCAACACATCTGGGAGGCAGGAGAAGAGCTCAGGCATTGCCAGACAACATGGGACTCTGGTAAAGGAAAAGGAGTTCAAATTCCTTGCTAGGGCCAATATTCCTTACAGCTTGCACTGATGAGCCACTCATCCACCCCTAGAAAGACATGGATTCTCTCTTTTAAGTCTTTTTGAAACACAGGGGCCAGAAAATGAGATGCCTAGGCAATGTTCTGGCTGCAGAGCTGCCCTTGGCCTGTTATCCCCCTGATTTGATGGAGGCACATTCAACCCAGCCTGCTGGGACCTGAAGGACTTCTGCTGGAGGACAAAGGAGATGTTTCCATGAGGAATGGATGTAAGGAGCACAATCCCACAAAACTCTGCTGCTGTGAATATCCCTGACTCACCTGAAAAAGGTCACTGACATCAAAAGGACTGTAGGGACCAGCTCCTGGGAAGGATAAGCTCTGCTGGGTTTGCAAGGCAGGGCTATGCACCAACATTCCCTGTTTCCAAAACTTGGAAACAAGCACTCACTTTCTCCCCTTGGAGACTCCCTGGGTCCCAAACAGTGTTGCTGGTGGTGCATCACTGTCCTCCTCACCTTCCTTGCACAGGGCTGGTGCCCATACTGCCAGCTCAGAGCTTCGATATTGGAGGTTGGGTGGCACAAACCCCTTTCCCAAATCCCATGGCATGCCATGTGTGTGTCCGATTGTCCAAGAGCTTGCTTATTTCTTGTCAATGCTCTGATTTGCACAATGGTCATATGCTGCCTATAGAAATACTTTTCAGCTGTTGAAAAGATTTTTAATGTGGGTTTTTTTTCCCCACAAAATGAGATTGTTAATCTTTCAATTAGCTTATGGAGAACCAAACTTGGAATAAACTTGCCTGGAAAACTAACTCTACACTCATTTATGAATGAGGTTGCCCCATCCCCTCTGTGCAGAAAGAGATAGCCTGCAGCACTATCAAATGCCAAAAAGGATGGGATGTTTTGCCTCCTTGTAGAGGTGCCTCTTGGTTGTTTAGGTAAGGTGGTGGATGGTTCTGTCACTGCTCAGATGAATTCCTTCTGGCTCACATGGGTATCCAATGGGAAAAGATGTTGGGAATTACTGAAGGCTTCCTGTCCTCGGAAGCCAGCTGTCTCTTGTGGAATAATGGCTGAATGGTGCTTTTTTTGGCTTTTTTTTTTTGGGTGGGGTGAGGATTTCGTGGATGAGTCGAGGTGCGAAGATGAGCATCAGTGCTTGCAGGTGCTTGTTTGTGTACACGTAAAACTGGGAGTGGGTGTGCTTGACCCATCCCCTCTGCAGATGGGTGGCTGCCAGAAAGCATCGTTAAGGCCCCGGCATCTGTTTAGCTGTGGGTGCTTATGGATACACGTACCTGCAAACCAGCAGGCGTTGCTGCGCACAAGTTTGATCGCAGACTGCCGTGCGTGGGCTCGTGGCCAGTAAGGCCCTTGTGCCAGCCTGCGCCGGTGGTCCTGGCTCAGAGCAAAGGTCCTACTGGTGGTCTTGGGAACCTTTTAAAATACATAGATGTGACAACAAGAAAGCTTGACTGTGCAACTGTTGATGAGGTGCCGTTAGAGAAAATGCAAGCAGGAGAATGTCAGCTGCTCTTGTGTCGATATTTTTATTTTTTTCCTTTCCTCCTTGACTGCTTTTTCTTGCCCACTGTGTCTTTCTCATGCCCAGAAAACAGGAGGACACCCAGAGATGCATGTCCAGGTCTCAGCAGCATGGGGAGCATGGTGGCTCCATGCCACAGCAGCCTGTTTGCTCTTGCACAAGGAGAGGTGAGCCCGCGAGCTGGGCTCTCTTGTAAAACCCTGAATTTCAGGCTTGCTTTGACCTTTGCATCCTCTTGAGTCACTCCTCTGTTTTGCTAAAGAGCAACTCTCCTATGACGAAAGGCTGTGAGAACTGGGCTTGGTCAGCCTGGAGAAGAGGAGGCTCCGAGGAGACCTCATTGCAGCTTTCCAGTATCTGAAGGGGGCCTACAAGGGGGCTGGGAGAGGACTTTTTACAAGAGCCTGTAGTGATAGGACAAGGGGGAATGGGTATAAATTGAAATCAGGGAGGTTTAGGTTAGATGTCAGGAAGAAATTCTTCACAGAGAGGGTGGGGAGGCACTGGGACAGGTTGCCCAGAGAAGCTGTGGATGCCCCATCCCTGGAAGTGTCCAAGGCCAGGCTGGATGAGGCTTGGAGCAACCTGGTCTAGTGGAAGGTGTCCCTGCTCATGGCAGGGGGGTTGGAACTAGATGATCTTTAAGGTCCCTTCCAACCCAAACCGTTCTATGATTCTATGACTTGGCAGCCTTACAACGCTGTGGAAAGGCCTTCCTGAAAGCAGAGAGTGCTTAAGGATGTCCAAACCAAAGCCATGATTAAGCCCATGGAGATTGTGACTTTTTTCTCTGCGGCTGCTGGGAAGAATTTCCAGGGAAGGTTTGTGTGGTCTGCAGGGCTGTGTCTGCTTTCCGAGAAGCCAGAGATGCTGGCAGGCTGGTGTCAGAGGGGAAACTCCATCCACGCATGACATCTGCCAAGCGTACTGCTCATGGCGCATCAGGCCATGGGGAGAGGTGCGGCTGCAGGACTGGGACCAGTGCTGGGGAAAACACCAGGCTGCTCCTCCTCCTTGCAGGGTCAGGGAGGACAGAAAAGCAGTGGCAAGGGACAACGGGGCAGTATTGCAACTGGGAGGTATGACAGTGCCTGATGTTGCTGCCTGGGGGTAAGGATGTCTTAGGGAGCCAGAAGCAAAGCTGGGGGCAGAGCCAGCTGCCAGTTAATGCTGATGGCTCCCAGCACCAGTGCCCACCTGGGAGGTGCTGCCCGCCTTTTTCTCATAGGGGCGGGCTTGCAGACCATGCTTGGTGCCCAAGGGCATGCTGATTTGGCCCTACACGCTTCATCCCCTGCTGTCATGCCAGTATGCCGTGTATTTGATGTGCCTTTTTTCTCTGCTCCTGCTGGCTGACCCCAGGGGCAGCTGGCTCAACCTGAGGCGACGGGATCAGGTGCTCCCCATCCTCACGTGCTGAGAAACATGCTTGTGTGCAAAGGGACGGCCCCAGGTCAATGTGTCTCATCTGCTGCACTGGGTGGGGGGAAATAAGTCCGCAGAAGCAGTGAAGATCATTCTGGTTTTGCTGTGATGAGCTTCAGGCACATCCGTGAAGCTTTCTAGAGACTGGGCTCAGCTGGGCTCAGGCTGTGGAGCTCGAAGTGTTAGTGTAAAGCACACAACAACGCAGCTAGTTTTTGGGGCTGAAAGCTTCTGGGGCAAAACCAGGCTACAGCACAAGGACAATTTTAAGGGGCTGGTCACAGTCCAGGTTGTGGGAAGCCGATGCTGCTCCTAAGTGCCTCATTTAAAGTTGTGGGACTTGGGGTTTGTTTGGGTTTTTGATCCCCCAGAAGCAAAGCATTGATAATCACAACTGACAATTACGAAGCAGGTCATCATTTGCCTGAAATGCACCTGTGTTATTCCCAGGATGCGGTTTTCTAGGTTTTGAGGGTTAAAAAGGAGCTAAGAATAGCTCAAAAGCTACAAAGCTGAGAGCTTGCGAAAGAGCTGTCAGAGGGAAGGCGTGATAAAGGTCACAGTCTTTTCTTCACGAGGTCCAAAGAACATTTGGAAAGTCTGCAGCTTCCTGGTGACTTGGCAAAGCCACTCTGTGACTCAGTTTCACCTGGAGAAAATGAAGGTCTTTGATACGATTTGTTTAGTGCTTTGTTAAATACAGGTTTACTGGTTTAAAAAAAAAATAAAAAACAAAACAAAAAACATGCCGAGGCTCCAAGTCAGGTATGAGCTGATTTTGACTGGAAAATCAGAAAGGCTCTAGCAAGAGAGGCACCACCTCATCACCCAGGGACAGATGAGTAGTAAACTGGTGGGCTCTTAGCCTTGCCAACCATTTGAGGGAATTTAATTTGAGTGGGAACATGGAGGGGTGAGGAGCTGAGGCAAGATTAAACCATGTTCATGCTGAGGCTCCAAGTCAGGTATGAGCTGATTTTGACTGGAAAATCAGAAAGGCTCTAGCAAGAGAGGCACCACCTCATCACCCAGGGACAGATGAGTAGTAAACTGGTGGGCTCTTAGCCTTGCCAACCATTTGAGGGAATTTAATTTGAGTGGGAACATGGAGGGGTGAGGAGCTGAGGCAAGATTAAACCATGTTGAGCAGCGGAAAGCAATCCCAGTCCTTGGTGAGAAGCAGGGCTCACAGTGCAGCAGTGGTGGTCTTTGAGGTCCACCGTCCTCAGGCAAAATATTTATCGTGACTACTTTCTGGCTTTAAGCAACTTCCAAATGTCTTGGGACCTCAAAGGTGGTGTCATGCTGTGCACCCAGTGTGATTTATTTACTGTAACTGGGCCCCAGCTTTGGGTAATGCAGTCTTTTGCAGATACACACGAGGAAAGAGGCTGTTGTGTGGACACGGGTATCTCCTTGGTGTCATGGTTTAACCCCAACTGGCAACTAAGCACCACACAGCCGCTCGCTCACTCTCCCTCGGTGGGGTGGGAGAGAGAATTGGAAGGGTAAGTGACAAAACTTGTGGGTCGAGATAAAGAGAGTTTAAAAGGTGAAACAAAAGCTGTGCATGCAAGCAAAACACAACAAGGAATTAATTCACCACTTCCCATCACAGGCAGGGGTTCAGCCATCCCCAGGAAAGCAGGGCTCCACCACGTATCACAGTCACTTGGGAAGACAAACACCATCATTCTGTCCCCCTCTTCCTTCTTCTCCCCCCAGCTTTATACACTGAGCATGACACCATATGGTCTGGAATGCCCCATTGGCCAGTTGGGGTCCGCTGTCCTGGCTGTGTCCCCTTCCAACTCCTTGTGCACCTCCAGCCTCCTTGCTGATGGCATGGGGTGAGGAGCAGAAAAAGCCTTGACTCTGTGTAAGCACTGCTCAGCAGTAACAAAAACAACCCGGTGTTACCAACACTGTTTTTAGTGCAAATCCCAAACACAGCCCCATCCTAGCTACTATAAAGAAAATTAACTTGATCCCAGCCCAAACCTGCACAGGTAGAAATGTGTCATGGCATGCCCCTGCCACGGTTGCAGACGTGCAAGCTGCTGCGCTGTGTTACCAGACAGGCTGGAGGATGCTGTGAGTTGCTTTATTTTTAGGTCTTATTGGTGATTAAGTGCAAACTATGCAGTGTGTCCAGGCTGCTCTGCTTTCTTGGAGCATAACCCTGTCCTGCTCAGTATGGACTCAGTAGGCTGGGAGGTCTGTTCTTCCTTGGAGGTCTGTCCTTCCCTTGGTGCCTGCAGGGAAGGGAGAGATGTGTCGGTGGCTGCTGCTCATGGAGACAGGGATGAAGGGATATTCAGGGTGTGGAAAGGTGTAGCAACTGGGGATTTTCTGTGAACGTTACTGGGGACCAGCATCCTGCACAGACCCACCCAGCTGGCCTGTGGGTTTTAAGGGGAGTCATCAGTGTGGCGGTGTGGTTTGGGGGAGGTAGAGTGCCTCCGCGCCCACCTACCTGTTCTGCACGACAGGAGGCAGACTTGCTGAATGACAGCCTTTTCTCAAGACTTTCCTCTGAACCTGAGGGAGACAGCATGCACAAACTTCCCATCATGGACTGACGCAGAGCGCCCTAAAGCCCAGCTCCCATACCGGCAGCCGGGGCAGGGATTGGCCCTTTCTCACCGC